GTGTAATTATAATACAGAAATACATTTATAAACACATCGAAAAGGCTTATCAAATAGACATTAAGTAGAAAATAAGGCAAATGTTAATCAATTGATGATTTCCAGGTCAGACAGAGCGCCGCCGATTCTCAATGATTTATGGCTTATGTATGATTTGAATCATTGAAATACAACATATCATTATTGAGTCAATTATTGATAGCTATGGCACTGAAAGCGATGCACTTATTAATAACAAAAGCATTAAAGAATATAACATTAAAAATGTTTCATTTGTGTCCTAAGAATATAAACATTTCCGTTATAAATGAAAATATTTGTGCAATTAAATGTTACAATAGCTTTGAGAAATAGCACCAATGTCATCGACAGCATCTGCAAAAAACATATTTTTAAAGATTAAATTATATGAAATTTAAGAATATTTTGTGTAAATTGTAAATAAGATTTTTAACATTAAACTTTTATTATATGTTTTTAAATATAAGAACTTAAGAATAAAATATGATTACATAATTTAAAACAAAAAAGTATTAATAAAAATTTCATAGAAATTTTAATTTATATGTAATCTCTTATTAGAATTTATAAAAACTTAAATATTAATGTTTTATAAATAAAATAATTTAAACATGAAATTACAAATTGACAATTATTGTATATGTTTGACTATAATAATGTATACGGTTTAAAATTTATATATGTTTATTTAAAATAAATATGATACTTAAAAAGTCTGGATTCTATAAAATTTTAGTAAATTTATTTATACTGGTAATATTTATATAAATATTAAGGAAATCATTAATCACAAAATATTTTTTTGATATATTTTAAAACTTAAATTCTGCAATGCTTAATAAGTTAGTATTACAGTCAATATTATATAACCGGTACTAGTGTTTTTAAATTTATAAATATTTATGTATTTCTAATATTACAAATTCCTGTCAAATTTGCAACAATAATGAAATAAATGGTTATTTGACAAATAACATTTTGCAAGAATCAAATTGCATATGATCTGTTTATACTAGTATTACAGAATATTACAAAACATATAGAAATTCAAACAGGGTATTTATTAGATGAAATACTTTCTTTTAAAGTCATTTCATTGCAACTAATATTTTAATACATATAATTTTAGTATAAATTCAATAATATAAATTTTAATATATTCAATTGAAAATGTCTAATTTTGGCAAAAAACTAATTCAAGTAGTGAATGAACTTCAAGACAAACTCAATCCTTTAGGCATTGAGAATGTGGTCATNGAGTTAGCAAGCACATTACAATTTCCACGTTATTTTATTAAATAATACAGAGTATAGCAATGTATTGCACTAAATATTAATTATCTCAATAATGATTAGTAAATGGATTCAAAGTTTCATTTTGGAGAACTTGTCGATTATGTCAATGGCTTCGATGTAGTGCTGCTTCCGGTTCTGCAAATCAATTCTCTCGTCTTTATCGGGATCTTCGCCTAAGATATCATCGATTGTCGGAAACTGATGTCTGAGGCGGACGTGGAGTTCGGTTGCGATGAACTTAGAGGTCGAGTCTATGAGCTCTAATTGACACAATTTGGGCAAACGATCCCTAAACAAAACAATTATAAGTTATTTTCATATTACAGTAATTGTATTATACTGAAGGTATACCTGAAAATAGTCTTAAGTATGACAACGTATTTATCGATATACTTCTTGACCACATCTACCTGTCCCGGCATGTGGTCTGGGAATGCCATGTCTTCGCACGAATGGCTACTAATACTATGACTCGATTGCGAGTAACGACTCAACGATTGATTGGATTCCGATTTTGTGTCTTTGTATAGAGACTCGTTATCAGCCGCCGGACCCCCATTGTCCACCTTAACCCCCACCCCCTCAAACCAGTCCTTCCACTTGAGTGTCATATCTTTTGAATTGAACACAAATTCGTGTTCACTATTTGATCCCAAACTTAATAGTTTCCTATTGAATGGAAACATCTTATAATTTACAAGAATAAAAGTTTTGAGAATTGATTACTTTTTTGATAAAACCAAAGTCAATGAAAAGTCTGTTTCCGATTTCAAATGAAAGCCCTTCACATCGACTGAACCCCTTTGGACTTTGTGTGTCTCATCCGTAAACCACGACAGAGTAGAGCCCTTTAGAACAAACCAGAAGTCCTTCTTCTTGTATGAAAACCTATCGGACTTTGAGTTCTGTTGAATGGCTTGTGTCGTGACTTTCAGCTGTACATCCGATATAAGACTGGATGTCAACTCTCTTTATAATAAATCAATATATTAGTAATTATACCAAAACACTATATAATATTCTAATATAGTACCCAGTAACTTTTTTGAAGTCTTCGTGGATGGTATTTATATAGCACTTTTCAGTGGCCACCATATGCTCGACAAAGATTTTACATTTTTTGTTGGACTCGCGAACAGAATCGAGGGTTAATTTGGAGTATATATCCCTAATATATCAACAATGTCATTTACCTCAAAATTATCTCTAACATGTACTCATGATAACTAACTTTAAATTTGAAAAACATTTCAATTTATCAATACATTCGTTAACTGAATTGATAATTTCATTGGTGACCCAATCCACACACGCTAGCGATGGCATACGGAATAGCTCTGAAAAATATTTCAGATTAACAGGTACAAATATATTATATACGATATATGAACCCAAATACCGATCTGTGACTCCACACATGAGGTGAATGCAACATCAGGTATGAAAAGTGCTAACTTGGCCCCGGGAGCGTTGAGAATGGCTGTGGCGATCTCCCGACCTAAGCGGGTCTCGTCGTAAAACAAGTGATCCACTTCTTTGGCGAACGTGTCGTTCATGAGAACGTTAATGCGGGCGCCGCCACTCAGCTTCTTGGTGTCCACTCGACATACCTTTCCTCCCATTGCGCTGTCGAAACTCTGGCGAAACGACTCATTAGTTTGGGCCAAATGTGTCTCTTTGGTCTTTTCAGTCAACGGGACCTCCATTTCGGACAACCTTTCGTTGATTTCAGACAATTTGGTCTCCAATTTGGGCTTCGATTGGGGCAGTCGTCGGAGGATGTGGTTTGACAGCTCTGACTGTAAGTACTCCTGAAGATATTTGATGCCTAACTTGTAGGCCATGTCTGGTCCGTACGCCGGGTGCTCAGTAAAGAACTTGCTTTCGTCGGACAAGGCTTTCTGGATGTCTTTCCTATCGTCGATATCTTTTTGCGAACGATTCACGACTCCTATGAAGCCTCTCTTCAAACGGATTTCATGCTTCCCATTGAGTATGTCTCTGGCATTAGTACCAGGGTCCATCAGATCCAACTTTGTTAGCACACCTATAGTTCTGTCGCCTTTTGGATCAACTCTGTTCGCCAGCTTAAGGGCGTCAGAAGTGGCCAAATCTAAACAAGATCAATTATATTTCATTTAATATATTATATGACAAATTCAGCAGTAATTTACCCTGATTGGCAGCCGTGACCGCTAATATGAGACAATTATCTTTGCGGATGTATTTCAAGATCATATTCTCACATATTTTCTCGATATCCTTGGGTTGGGTCCCAATGGGAACTCTTGTCATTCCCGGCAAATCAACTAATGTTAGGTCCAATACATCCGGTGAATAGATCTTCAGGTTGATGGGCACCGACGAGATATCAGTGCTTTCCGCCACTTCTCTATCAGTTTCAGCAGTGATTTCATCTCTAATATCATTGAAATCGTAAAACCGTTTTCCCGGGGAATGAAGAAACTCTCCGAAAGCTATGAAATTTATTTTATTTTATTTCCATTCATTTAAATTATATTATGATTACAACTATTATACCTCTGTTTGCTGTTGTATCTGATATTAATTGCAATACGAGTGGTCTTCTGGTGACAATACCTGAACCCCGGGGCAGGAAATCTATGCCCACAATGCTCTCCAATACACTGGACTTTCCCGATGACTGACCGCCGATGACTACGATTTGTGGTAAATCTATGACCACATTCTCAATGCCTAAAGGATTGAGTTTGTCTTGAAGTTCATTCACTACTTGAATTAGTTTTTTGCCAAAATTAGACATTTTCAATTGAATATATTAAAATTTATATTATTGAATTTATA